CTCTGATTTTCTCTAGGAATTGGATAGCAGAGTTGATGGAGTGGTCACAAGATTCCGTTAGGTGTTTTAGTTTTCTGTATAATTCTTTGGATAAATTATATGTTGGAGTTCCTAGGAGTGATACATTTGGTCGTAACGGGATATTTGGTTTGTGTATTTTGGGTCTGCTGACAAATATTCACTAATATTGATTTTGCAACAAAACAATAATAAGCGTTTTGCGATAGACGATGGTAGCCTTTTATTTTGATTAAGTATATTTGGAAATTCTCGGTGTCTTATAAACCACTTAGGAAAGTGTACTTCCCAATGACAATGCTATATTCTACTAGTTTAAACGGTATATTTATTATTCGCTTGATGAAGGTGTCTTTCATCTTATTGGGGACTTATTTGTCAGATGATATACGTAATTCGTAGTAATTACTGATTCTCTCAATGATACCTGAACACAACACGCATCATTCCAAATGTCTAAAAATCATCCTTCACCAGGCCATGATACCTGAATGAAAAAAGAAATTTTAAATAATTAAATATTAAATATATATATATATATCACCATACAGCCATGGAACAGTACGTCGTAAATCATACATCGTGAACGAATTTCTTGTGATAAAAATGGACGAAGCAATTACAACCAATGAGAAAAAACGAAACGTTCCACTTTTCTTTCTTTACTAACTTACCAACTCCTCAATACTTGAGAAATCGAAGTAGCTAGATTACAATACAACCGTTCAGTTAGGAAATAAAAACATAGAACAGGAGGTAAGAAGTTTTTCAATGAAAGACTAGATTAGGAGGGAGATATCGAGAGACACAAATGAAAAGATTGCGTAAACCATTAGAAAATCCATCGAAGTTAAATAGATAAATCCGGACTCTGCGAACACAAGCATAAAAGAGCGGTGATTCCACCAAATTAGAGTGAAAAGAAACCAATAGTTCCATTAAATAAAATATGATATCAACAATCAAAATCGGAACACCAAGTTGACAAAGTAGAAACAGACTTACTATAACTTCATTGTGAACAATTAAATCACGTTATTCTTGTTTGACACTGATGACTCCTGTGAATTCCAGGACGCATCAGCTGACATATTTGTTTATTGTCTTGACCTATCAGTGAGACGTGTGCTTAGTGTTTCGTGTCAGTTGATACCGTGTGGCCACACTGTTTAAAGTCAAATTGTCTCTTAACCGTATTTATTCCATAAACTGATTTTAAAAATCTCTAAATGGAGATTTCTGTTGCTTTTAAAACAATTAATGTAATAAACGGATGAACACACTAAAACTATAAGTTCATCGTGTGAATATTTACTGAAAATTAGGATAGTTAAAAAAAGCCAGGGAGGTTCTATGTTAGCACACAATACACAAATGTCTAGTATTCTCATCAGAATAGATAATCTACACAAGAATTTAGAAAGTTTTTCACTCAGTGATATTTGAGAGCCTTAGTCTTCGAGAAAATAGTACAGCTGAGATTCCAAGTCAACATAAAAACACAGTGCTCCTCAGAATGTTGACTACACTTCCATCCACCTTCAATGGAATTATGTACTCTGTAAGTTGTCTGACTATTGATCTTATGTTTGTTACTGGCAGCCTCTCCTATGAGAAGATAATTTGATTTGGGCTTCTCATTAGTTCTGATGACTATAGGTGATGGATTGCTGGAGTTATGAGGATCGTTTACAGGTAATTGAAGCCTTCTGCATGCTGTTTGCACACAGATTACTTGTCGTTGGTCAGCTTGTTGCCTGGTCCCAAGGGACATACTTTCACAGGATAACAGAATTTAAAATAGGTCGTATTATGAAATGGTTTTTCAAGTTTACGACTGTCTCCAGCGTCTAATAGATTCATGTGAGCATAAAGCTAACAGAGAGAATAACTCGCTCTTTCTGTATTACAACACTAGAAACATGCTTCTCAGCTGTTCATTCACTTTGCCTACTGTTGTTGATCGATTCACTAGAAGGTAAGTTTGTAAATCTGTACTCGATATTCACGCATTAAATTGATATTGTTGAAAAATACGATTAGTATCAATTTGTTGTTAATTATTTATTAAGGGGAAGTCATCTTCAATTTGTCATTAAGCACTTTTATTTTTTATTCAAACTATGACTATTATGCAAAATACGCTGATAACAGAGTAATAAAAAGGTGTATTCTCACTTTGTTAATTATATATGTAGGCTGTCTGCAGTTGAAGAGAAGCATGAAAGTAGTAAAATATGCACAGCTTATGCTGCAACTCTTGTCTTTCTTCTTTGACAAAGGTCCTGGAATTCATTTGCCTACATCGTCTCCAATATTATGAAGCAACACCTTTCATTTGATTGAAAACAATCGCATTCTCTCATCATATTGATGATAAGGGAGAAAAGGTTCCACTGTATAATCTGTTCTGTCAAAGTGTACTTGCAAGACAAAATTATTATCCATGCAAACTTAACTAAGCGATGGTCTTAAAAGAAACTGAGATATAAATTACTGATATTTTATACATAGTGATACATCATTCGTCCTCGAACTAAATCATTCTGTGAATCAAACATGACAATTAATCGTCACAAGGTTAATATAGACTATGTTCCATAGTCATATTATGGTGGTGTGATACAGATAATGCGTGCCAACGAAATATTATTATCACATATTCCCACAGTTCAATACTGCCTTAGAAACAGAACATTCTATTTCATGTCGTCTGCTGTAAACCGAAATCACACGCTCAGTGATTGATCAAAGAATATAAACTAATATATATGTGTAAACAGCGGTTTGATCAATGATAGTAGACTTTGGCTTCTGTGTCTTGCCAGCTGTCGTTATAATATCTTACTCACACCGTAGTGTTGAAATACACCAAGCACTCACTTTGCCGATTGCAAGAGTTCCTGATATTTTATAAACAGCCATTAAACACTGACAGCCATTCACCTCGTTACTGTTTCTTTTCCATGCATATATGCAGCATGAATATGTTCGTTATACAAAGATTTCAAGTAGTTTTGTGAGTTAATTAGCCAGTATTCGTCATGTGGTATTCTAAGAATACAGAAGTTGGTTAAAAAGTTATCTCTATTTTGACATTGAATATAGTGACAGATAAAAAAATAAGGCATATACGTACATTAACTACAATCAACGTTTTCGTAAGTGAATCTGCAATGGTATATACGTTAGTCCATCAAGCAGGATAGATGAATGAATACATAAATAAAACACCCAATAAATCAAAGTAGGTTAGCGAGGCAGGTTATAGGTATTACTGAAAAGATTTTACACTTACATAAAGGATGCCACTTGTAGTTTCGGACGATTACAATATTCTTTTCCAAAGAAAGCATTATGAACTTCATAATCGAACTGTATGTTCCACAAAACTTTACTCGGCCTTTTTGTATTTCCCTCAAGTAGTTACCCATAACTGGATGAATGAGAATGATTTATTTGCTTGACCAATTCACTATGTCGTCCTTTATGGCTGTGAGACATGGCCATTGAAAGTAGAGGATATGAAAAGGTTACATGCCCTTTACTACATATGTTTGCATCCTATCACTCGTATTAAGTGGAACAATATGGTGAGTAATACCTAGGTTAGGCGAAGAGTCCCAAGTAAGGAAGGGTAAATCAGTCGATGATGTTGTGAAAGTGAATCGATTGAGATGGCTAGAGTATGTTTTGCTTATGCTGAGCCATCACCTTTCTTGAATAACAATCTTAGCTGATAAAAATAGTTGGGGATGGTCAATCAAAACCTGGCATCAATCCATGAACTCTATGACAATTGTTTCGAGCCAGCCATATAGTGAGATGTGGACTACCTGGCTGGAAACTTCAGTATGCTAGGGACCAAAGGTAAGAGATTATTGATGTCATGGTTCAAAGCCGTTCCCACTGAGACAGATTCATTCACCGACTGTAGCCTCCCAATTCTATTAAACCCTCAATTTCCTCTTTGTTTGTATTCTTCCTTCCTTATTGTCGTGATAATTATAGCCCTTTTTAATTCCTTTTTTCTCTCTTTTTTTACCTTTGTGTGCTAGATGGAGTGTAGCAAAATGAACTACTGCAAGTCAATCAGACCGCTGGTCAGTTTGTGAATACGATTCCTATTAGTCGTGCACACATTTCAGAAGAACTCATTGGCTGAAAATTGATTTCCTACATGTTTAAACATTCCTTGTAAAATTATGCCGAGGCTTATTTGTTCCGTGTGAACATAAGACTCATAGTAGAAAATAAAGTAGAGATACAGCAGATTCTACGTGAATCGATTATTCTTAAAAGTTGATATACCTTGACCAGTATAAAAAGCCCTAACAGACTAATGAAAGGTAATAAATTTATAGTTAAATAATGACCCTTTTTGAACTGTGTTAACATTGTAAACCGCTTATAGCAGGAAGAATAAAAGAAAAGTATAACTTAGTCTGAAACAAGTAAACATAATAATTAGCTAACACATATGGAGTTAGGTTTTTCGTTTAAATTGTTAAAATACTTATAAATACACTTAAACCACTGATGATATCTCGTATATTACTAAGTTAATTGGATAAATAAAGACTACAAATAAACCTTGGCATAAAAATAGGTTCTGGAAGCCGTTAGTTCACTCACAATCACAACCATAATATGTAGAAGTATCCGTGAGGTAATGCAGTTAGAGAGTGTCGCACTTAAGGTGAGATATCAAATAACATCATGTAGTTAATGCAAAGTTACTGACGATGAAATAATAGGGGACGCACAAGAAATGACATGACTTGAACAAAGTATGTATTACTTTGGTCTATATATAAGTGAACGATAATAATGAATCTGAAAAGGTTGAATGTTAGTGACTTGGAATAAAGTGTTAAATAACAATGAACAAGTTATTCAGCAAGTTTGAGTTCCAGTGTCACTCTAAATTGGGGAGTAATTCTGGTTTCAATGAAAATTAGCACCGAACGGTACACTGTTCATTAAAATAATCTGATGAACGAGATTGTGACAGTGCAGACTAGTAACAGTAGTACTACTTTAATATCTGGAATATGCTTTATTTGAATTGATGCAAGTAGTAGTTCGTCGAAATCGAGAATGCTGAAATGGAAACACACAGCAGTAACAAAAGTGATGAGTCATTTCTCATACTAATTTCTTGAATGAAATAAGGACAGTATACGATGAGAGTCAACTAGTCAATAAGCGTTTTTAGTATTCTTAACATTCAAGTTTTGGTTTTTAGGGATTTTGTTTGATTGAATGGAGGATTTCATCATGAGCTGACATCATCTAGAGAACCATTGGAAAACCAGCTGGGAGTACTGGTTAGCTGTTTCCTCCTAGTTTGGGACTCTTCAGCACTATGCACTCACCATGGTTCGAACCCAGGACCTTTTGGTTACAAGGCAAGCTCGTAGACCGTTAAGCCACTGAGACGCGATCCACTGGCTCATCAATTCTAAGTTCTGTCAATTCATGACATACGGTGGGTGCGTACTGATGAAGAATCCCAAACTAGGAGGAAACAGCTAACCAGTACTCCCAGCTGGTTTTCCAATGGTTCTCTAAATGTTGTCAGCTCATGATGAAATCCTCCATTCAATCAAACAAAATCCCTAAACACCAGTACTTGAATATTAAGAGTACTAAGAACACTTTTAGATATATATTATCTAATCGCTGTATGACAACAGTTGTTTCTTCCTCTACCCCTACAAATATACAAATTCTACCTGTGCACTCACCATTAAATAAACATTTGAATGAATTTATCCTTGTTATTATAATTCTTATTAATTATTATCATCATTTCGATCATTATCGAATAATTCACATTTCTGAACTCTGATCCTATATTTTATTAAGCACATTAATTGAAATGTCTGTGACAAATATTTCATTATGTAAGTGCAAAGACTGATGGGGATTTACCAACAATAAGTGTTTGCTTAGATCACGTTCTATATTATGGTCTGTTGACTAAAGTCATTACCTTAAATTATCCGTTTCCATAGGAGATGTTTCGCTATATATTACCTGAAAACTGAGAAGCAGCATTTATCATTCATTCATCAGTGGTTACATATAACCATTCCACACGAAAGAACTGTGAAAATACCATGAATTGATTAGAAAGATAAAGAATTACAGTAATACACATATATAACTGAAGCTTACTCATAGTCAGTTGGAAGTTCTTCTTCTGTTGGTTTCTCTTCTTTAGTAGGCACATCCGATGGAAGACGAGCCAAAATTACTTCATAGAATTCAGTACCCTTCAAACGAATTAGTTTAACTAATTCCACATCTCCTTCTGCAGTTCTTCTCATATGAACAAAATGACCGCCAACTTTCAAAAGTTTTTTTAACTAAGACAATCAGATAAATAACAAAATATTATGACTTTTCTCGAGTAAGGAAATTTCGGTCGATACGATAGCAAATTACGTTAATTTTCAGTAAGTAATAGCTTATTAGAAAATAAGAAATGAATTGAATGTGAAAGGATATCAAACTAATTAAAATTTTGTGTATGGAAGGTGTAATAAATTAACTTGAAATTCAAAAGTCAACTGTGACAGGATTCGAAAACAGAGACATCTGAAATACTAACCCGATGATATTCATGCTGAGTTCTTTGATAAAATGTTGGAGGTCTCTATCTTGCTGCTATTAACTTTTTTCAATCCAAAGAAATGCGTCACCGATAACATAGCTGTCGGAATCTTAAATTAAGCTAATCTTAAACAGTCCTGACGGGAGAAGTAGTTTTGAGCCGGCTATACTATTTTTTGCTCTAAGGAGAGGAAGGGAAGTTCAGAAAGTAGGGACCATAAAAACTGTACAACATGGCTTATTCTGCGGCAATGAGTAACCGGCAGTAAGATCTTCATTGGACACAAATCCAAATACTCCTCAAAGTCACTGTATGAACGGTCGTAAGCGAATGTTCCCAGGGTCTGTTAAACAACAGTAATGCTCTTTCAAAGATTTCACGGCGCTTCCACTAACGTAAAACGTAGTGTTTCATTTCAGAATAGAAATTACATCAAGGGCACTGCTAATTTCCAATCGTGACTCTTTTGTAAGACCTTAGTAAGTGACGTTAGTAAGACAGAACAAAATTAAAGTTAGTTTTAAATGCAAAGTGTAACATATTGAATGCAACCAATAATCTCTACTTAATAACACTTTCTCTGAGTCTTAAGTGTCTTTCACATAATTGTTTCAATACCGACTGTGAATACATTTCAAAGTTACAGAAGCGATCAATTACTTGGAGATATTTTTGAGGGATTAGGCTTGACATTTATATACTGTGATACAGCTTCTCTTCAGTGCAATATTTTACATAATTATCTTTCGTAAATTTAAATAGTCTTCAGCTTTAAGCAGCTAACCATTCGAATCTCAACTGAATTGTGTTAAATGGTAACCAACCAGTGTTCAACTAAAAGACAGAAAGTACACTTCTTTTCTGATTTTATATCCCTTTCAACAATACAGAACAAAGTAACAAGCGCTTCACAGGATGACGTGAATTGTTTTCATTAGAGCCTGTTTGCATCATACAGCCACATAAGATGAAAACAAAAAGTAAGTAGGACTGAAGTATGGTGGGTGATTTTTAAATGCCATCCACCCTTACAGAAGAAATGATGTCACTCTAGGATTTTTTTTTCAATGAAATCTTTTTCTCATGAAGCTTTTTTGATTGCATCTAAATGAATGGCTTATGAGTAAACATTATTTGGTAGCTTCAGGAAGTTTGGCTGTAAAAAATACTCAATAACTTACCGCTTCAATGGTACTTTTATCGATTCCCTGAAAATAAACTGCATCATAATCTTTCCGGTTACTTGATGTTCTGGTTTTTTACCAGTTAAAAAGGTAAATGGCGCCTCGAGTTTTAAGCCTAGAGTTTTTGCTTTATCGCTTTTAGCTATCCAATTATTGACATTCTCTACATTTATTGTAGTCAGTTGTTGATTGACTTCAATTCCGGTAACGGAGCCTTTAGATTCAACCTTTAAGTAAAAAAAAACATCAAACATATAAAAGAGTAAGACACACCAACGAATAAAGCACTTTCATTATTCCCTCTTCAAAATTATTTAGTTGTCAAATTAAAAATGTAGCACTGATTAGTCAATGAAAAGTTTTCTTTTTGATGACTTCTTCACTTCATTTATTACCTAAGCTTCTGTGTTTCAGAGTACTGTGCTCCCTCGACTTCTGTTTTCTTTCATTTTACGCATTTTTCAAAAGCTAATTCCATTTAATATGTGAATGATCTAACAATGTCTGCCTCAGATTTTTCTTTATCAGGCTGTTCGTACATGAATAGTTCCTTATCTGAGGTTAATCAATCATCTGATTAAAATGCGGTAAGAGTGAAACCCTTTAAATATCAAACCGTTAATTGTGGTTTTAAGTATGAACATGACTTGTGTTGACTGAATCAGTCCGGAGATTCGTGTGATACTTACACTAATGTGTTAGGATATCAACCAAATATTATCCATCTTGGTATGCGTTTCTCTGACAATCTTTGTTGGTTATCACATATCTTGTTAATTCCCAAGGAAATTTTCGTTTAATTTGACAAATAAGAAAGTCGAGACTTCCCGGCATAACTCAACCTCTCATTTTAAAACTGGTTGATTCATTACTCAGCCATTTTCCTCTTAATTTCCCCTTTGTTTTCCCTTAAAACTTTTTAGAAAAATGCTGTGTAGTATCGAGCAGGCTGCAACCAGGGCTAGTGGTGACTCAGCTGACCTACAGTGTCACTGACAGACAGGTAAAATCTTACAAGCGGTTGGGTAAGACTTTCTTTTTGGAAGTCGAACAACCTCTTAATTTTCAACTCTATCTTTGTACCTCACCAAGAAAACTAAAAGTGGTTTTAAGAAATTTTATGCTCGTAGGCTTAAATATAAAAATTTAACCATAATTTAATTCGCCCATGTACCCTGTGAATGAAAAATTGCCAGAAAAAACTAACAAGCCTACTTTGCGATCTGCTTAAGAAAACAGCTACTTGTATCTGGCAGTCATTTATGCGTTATTATTATTTGTATTAACGTTCTCATTCACTTCAGCCTTTGTGGTTATCTGACTGACTGAGTTCCAACGTAGAAATGTGAGCAGAATCACAGCAGTTCAAGTTGCCACATAGGTACGAAGAAGGAGGAAAAAAACTATATTGTGCAGAAATGTGTGTAAGGAAGGAGGAATAGTGAAATGGAAAACTATGACGGTTTAGTGGTAACGACAGGTTAAAAAGAGCGAATGAATCTGCTTCATTCAGAAAGGCATTAAAGCATATCATTGACAGCCTGTAGCATCCCGAGGTCCCCAACCAAGCAGTATACATCTCACTACATGGCTAGCTTAAACCAACTATCAAAGACTTCATGGATTTATGCCAGGTTTTGATTTGACCATCCCTCACTGTTTTTAAATCTAATCTTATGCTAGCTAAAATTACTGACTATGGGAAGGGGGGGATTGGCATCGATAAAACGTATCTTAGCCATCTCAAATGATTTAATTTCACAACACCATTGACTAATCTTGTTGCCTTACTTAGCACTCTACACCTACGCTAAATATTGTTCACCTTATTAAGCCATCTAACACGGGAGATAAAACTTAAATATATGTGGTCAAAGAAGGCTAACCTTTCCATATCTTTTCCTGTCAATGACTGTGTGTCACAGTTACAAAGCAGTATAAGGAGTAAAGTAGTTGAAGTGCATAAGTGCTGAGTATTCCGCTCCGCACGAAATAATGTTTGGAATAGTGTCTGTTATTATCACTGCTACTGAAAGGATAGATCTTAGTGACCACATCGATGCTTTTAATAAGTCCGAAAGTTCGAGGTGTGTGTGTGTTGGTAAACTGTTACTGGATTACAGCATAAGTATTCTCGTGATTCATGTTCGAGCTGAATTCTATGCGGTTTGATTATAAAATTAATAATAATTATTATTAGTATCAAGAAAATGAAGAGAAAATAGAATGGAAGGTTGTCTTTATGCGTAGGTGAGCAACCAAAGTTTAGCTATGACAATATATCGTTTTCCAATACAGGTGTATGGTATAAAGTTGAATAAATCGGGTGAAGTGTACTGCAAAATAACGAATGAAATATGATGGAATCGATACATACAGGGTCACTCCTAAAAATAATACCGTTATACAGAACTGATGAATTCATAGACTTCACAACAGAACTAGGTAACAGTATTGGTTACATGTGTTTCAGTTATAAAAAGTTCCAGCAAGGTGCTATAACTTCTGCTCCTTGGTACGTGTTGGCTTTAGTTAGCTTATTTGGTACACGATGGACTATACAAATGCATCCCTCAATACCGTTTTTCCGAGCTATTTGGATAACGTATGCTCATATGTATCGGTTCATGATTTCATTGCACCATTATTTGGTCACATCTGTAGGTGTTTCCGAGCACCAAAATCAAGTTTCTACAGCAACAGCTAATTCAACTGATTTCTTGGAAGTAGGAGGCTTAAAAGACACAAAACGACCCGGCTATACTAGGCATCTCATTTTTCAAATTCAGCATGGGAACCCGGAGTTTAGAAAATATGTAAGTTGCAATTTTCTAGCACTAAAAGCTCTCTGATTTGCTTTCATTTGCTCGTTAGCCCTTTATTCACCGGGTATTTCACCTCCAAATTCTAGCAGTATACAGAGTGGCTTCTTACGTGCCAATTCGAAACACTTTTTCCTACATTTGTAGTTATGTGCTTTGTTATGAATTTCTCCAAATAGCTGTTTTCAGTTGATTATTTTATCATATATATATGGATGTATATACACCTACAGCACATGAATTAAATGTGTAGTGAACTCTACTATGCCGTCACGCATTGTGTCAGTATGCATTACCGAAACGTTCCGAAGTGGGATCATGCTGTAGTTTAGACAAAAGCGAGTCTGACAAACTACAATCAAGACCATATTACAAACATTTGCGGGATTTTTAATGTGTTGTGACGAATCATGTAAAATTCATTGATTGATCAAAAGTCGTGTTTCCTTACTGCTTAGAAGTAATAAAAAGTAATAAAAACTATTTCACGTTCTATGAATCCCTCATTAGAGCGAACACAGACGTTTACTAAAAGTGAGGGTATAATACAAAACTATATGGATGCACAGATATTCACTATTTGCTTGTTTATAGACTAACCCATAGACAGCACCATAAGGACTTTCGGAACCTAGATGACAAGGCTTCACCCCAGATACTGCGGATAACTTTTAGTCAAATCACAGGGAGACTGTAGGCGGTGACTTTTGTTATCTCAAGTGCCTCAGTAGGACAGTCTACACTTGCCTGTGTGGCTCGAACCAACTGTTGAAGACTTCGAAAAACTGGTGCTCTATATTTATGTAATCACTCTAGCCTAGCCCCATATCAGATTCGAAATCTCGTCAAATGACTTTCTCTCTAACCTTACATTTTACTTTTACCCTCATTATTGCCTAAGATATTACTATATCTTGCAGTGGGAATGCATCATAACCATAAAGCAGGAGAGAAGAAACTGTTGAGCAGGTCGTATTTCACTTGACGGGTGTCTCATTCAGGCTAAAAATAACACCAAGTAGAAAATCTTAAAGATGGCTTTCAGCAGTCAGTCAATTAGAGCTGCTGATATGGGTGAGTAAAGCTGAAGTAAGGCGAATGAGGTATGAACCCAATATTGCCATTTTTACAAAGCTATAAGTCGATGGTGGATGACAAACCTAAATCTGAAGACGACGCATTTCATGAAGGCAACATTATTTCACAAATAATTTAATTAGCTCAGCTATATAGTACGGGGAAATAACGCTTCAGTTCCATAGTAAACTATAGTAAAACAAACAACATCAATATTTTTATTCATTTGCTTCAAGTTACAGCTGATAGAAAATACTTCTGGATAACAGTGGGCCTTTATCAAGCTGTAACTCTCTCGTCAGATGTCTTTTACTTGTTTTGACTTTATCCACATGGGGTTATGTTAACAAATGTGGTTAAAAATCCTCCTATGCAGTTTACTATGCAAACAGATTTTCTTATATTATGCACTGAAAAATGTTTATTAGGAAGAATATTTAACCCCATAAAATATGGAGCATTTGGCCCGTCATTTTGTTTTATGCGGGTATAAATACTGTAAAATGTTCAAATAAATGTATGAATAAAAGCGATGAAGTGTATGATGAAGATGAATATATGCACATGCTTAACGAGATTTTAATTTAATGCTGGAAATCCAACAGATTTAGATAGGGCTACTTCAGCCTCAAAGAATTTCATCATATAAACAAGACTACTAGTATCTTACTGTGATAAAAATGACTTACCAGGATCGCTGTGCATGCCAAAAGATATCCACCAGTGCAACCAATACATAACACTTTTGCATGTACCTTAAGATTCTGTCTTAGTCCTTCTAAGACATATGCATCCTGTATAGTCAAAAAGTATAAAACTTCTTAGTAAGACTTTTAAGCATTAGAATATGATAACAACAATAGCCTAAAAAGTACTACAAGGATATGTGTCATGACATTCTGGACGTGTTTCCAGTGAACAACAGCAATGCATCAATTACAGAATGCAGCAACGGATTATAGGTAACCCAGACACATTTTATGAAGATTAGTTAGAAGCTAATTATATGTACTGTAAGTGCACAGGAAAGATAACAATGACTGTTCATGGTGTTACTAACAATCTAAGGTTTTCCAATAGTAAAAAAGTGAAGCAATAATTTTATTCAGCATGTCAATTATTGGTACAGAATACCTGGATTCTAATAAATAACAATATCTTTCCCCAAAGTTTTTCATATTTTGTTGTTTTCAATGACACTTTAAGTAAAATAGTTATTATATATAAGGGCTTTACTGAATTGCTACAGCAGTCTCATAAACTTTTGTCATATCCCATTACTTTTAGTCATTAGAAGGTCTTGCGACATCTATGATAAAGGAAAAGGCTTTCAATTCTTATTTTTAGGTGTAAGATAGTTACTCCGGTTTTTCCATGAACGAGTAAATATACACCTACTTTGAATTTTCATAAAAGTATAATATTTAGAGTGCTGACTTGAATACAGTCAGTAACCATCCTTAATTACTTTCAAAAATGCAGTCTGCATCCTAGATCTACACTTTCCATCTTTATCGCCAATTTGAGATCCATTATATTTGGTTAACTGTGTATATTTTATTTATGTGAATGAATGCTCCAAAACATTTGAATGATAAAGCTAAAAGATATTAATCAATTAGGTGGTTTAAGAGAATTCCGCCTACAATATAAGCATTATTTAAAGACAGTGGATTATCCGAAAATATTCCGTACAAAAATATGCAATGAAAGAGACAAAGAGTGGACGGCACAATTTTCCTAGTTTCACTCAAAGTAATAAACCATATTCTGTTTCATAGTTTTATATGATGGATGAATAAACTCTGACTCTCAACATGAAAACACACGTGTATGATATCTCTCAGACTGTATCTTGCAAGGTTATTTTTATTAATTATAATGATAGTGCCTCAAAACTGGAGAATTTGCGAACCTACCACATATGGCGCACTGATTATACCACCGTGTGAAAGTCTATGCGAACGATTTTCATATGGACCTGAGGCGACGAAAAATTTGCGATCAACATCTCGCATCACTCTTTCGATGTCCAGTGATGTAACAATTCCATTTTCTGCAGGAAAATGTCAACTGAAATATAACAGAAACTTGCTTTTCAGATTGTCTACTAGTTCGTTCTGTGACTTGCTGTCTGATGCAGAACTAACAACTGTACTCAAAAGATGCAGTACGGGGAAAATTACAGAGATAGCTTTAGTAATACTGGCCACAGTCATACCTTGAGGTGAAGGGGTGTTGAAATTCCGCCTCTGTGATTCCAAAATTATTTCGATGACATTTTACGCAATAAAACAAACTGCAGTAATATAAAAGTGGTGATTTTCGATCAGATTAAACTTAAGTATCATAGCGCAGTATCGTTTTTTATTTTGCTTTTTTACTTATGACAACCAGAAAATAACTTCATGGAAAGAAAGCAACAAGAGAATCCATTGTTTGCATACAGACCATAATTAAGCACTGAGAACAGTGATCAGTAAAGTATCTTTAACTCATCGCTTCAGATAATCGGCTATCGTCTGCTGTGGGGACTATGATGGGTAGCATGAAAATATAACAGTGCTTTATACACCTAAATGTAAAATAATTTTGTTTATACGTAACAAAAGAAAGTAGTGGATTCACTACATCTCCCACCGTTTCCCCTTCAGGTATCAGATTAGCTGTCTGAGGCAGTGATGAAGAAGCTAAAGCAAGAACAGTTTGACTTTTTAGGATTAAGAGCCCAGGACGTGGTCCGTCATGTGGCCAAAACGTAGGACTGGGAGGAAAAATATCCAAACAACAATCATGTGGTTTGCTTTGTTTTGAAGTGAAAAAGTAAAGGAACCGGCAGGCTTTCACACAGTACCGTTTATCTCCCCTCCGAGCTAATTAACACAACATAGGTGAAACTACGTAAAAACCTATAAACCAACAATACTAGATTATATTACGGTCCGAATCAGTATGATGAAAAGACTATGGCCACAGCCTGCAACAATTAACCTAACAGTGACTCACACTCACAAGGCGTCAGACCAAAACCATCTTGACTAAGTCAAAATGATACAACCATTCGAAGCCAAATTTGGTTTTGCATCCATAGTTGTCAAGCAAAACGTGTTTTGTCCATGCTACGCATTCTGAATTTACATTCACCTCATCCTTAGTTCAGGCTAGCTCTTGGGGTTCTGACATGTCTAGCAGAGGAAATCATTTATTCCTAAATATCCGGTAGTTGATTCTGGTTATGGCAAATTGAGTGCTTCTTTTCTCCCTTTTCGTCAAGTTCAACTTGTTTGTGTTAGGTGCAGTCATCTCGGGCCAATGCTACATATGCGGATGCTACTTTTGTTTCAGCATCGTCGTACCTTAATTATATAAGCACGCTTAAGGTGAAGGAGGTATGACAGCTGTCAAGCGAAATGACACAAGTGTTTGAAGTAAAATCTGAAATTTTTCGCACACTGCGGCAGTGAGTGCCTTATGTCTCGTCGTGCACTTATTGCTTGGCTACAATTCACTGTTATTTAATGATACCTTAACATATAGTGGCAGGTGTTTGTGAAAAATTACGAGCTACTGCTTCAAATTCATCCTCATCAAAATCACCTAGCTGAATTTCGATTGAAACAACTTAAGTCATTTCTCAACAGCAGCGCGGCAAATAGCTGGGGATAGACTAGCGATTTTAAAACACAGACTTATCAATTTTGATGCAGCTCAGGGTACTCTATGTAAATAATTTGAACAATTCTTCCTTGCATGGCAAATCATTATGCCTTGAGGACAACCTTCCGTTTCAGCAGCTGTAGCTTTTACAGTATGCATTATCACTAGTAAACAAGAGTACGAAAAGTTTCGGCTGATGAAAGGTGTGACCCAGCTAAGAGTGTTTCTCATGGATAACTAAGAAATCGATCAACTGTTTCTCACGCTAGCTCATCCTACATAGTACCACCAAGGTAAGCATTCCCACCAGTAGTTCTGATATCTGCGCCTTCTATGCTCATCATTCCCCCATACGAACAAACCTTTCCATTTCCAATCAATCTCATATTTAAACAATACTAAAATACTTCATCCACACCGAATTTCAAAATAAGGCAATTGTCGCGAGCATCTGAATCCATTCGTGGGGGTCAACAGATTGGACGCATGTATGAGACATGGTTGTTCCGTTTGAGATCCTTGTTCTGGGCTCAACTTTATCTTCTGCCGACAGTCGGTTAATCGTCCTTCATATACTTCCAGGCCAACAGTTAAATCGTCTAAAAATTAGCTTGAGTCTTAGATATCCTGACAAATTAGTCACTGAAGGGCCCTGACAGACTAAGTTGCGTATCAAGGCTCTCCCGAATGAATTTTCAGTTATTTGGGATTAATCACCAGCTGGCATCCATAGCGACAGCCTAATTCTCAGTCTCCAGGCGCTAATTTATTAGACTCTGCACAGGTGATGAGGTTCTCCATCTTCCATTCGCTCCATCATTTTGACTTCACACCGTTTGTCAAGGAAATTATCCCTAAGTTCCTATTGTTACGAAGACGCTTTGCACCGATAACTGCTATGTACTTTCCTCGACTTTAACTTCAAAACACCAGTATTGTAAGAAGGAAGTTACATTGCTTGGCAATTAAGGCGGAGAATAATACAAGTCTATAAACAAATATTTTATACAAAATTATGGAGTACTTTCATTCGTTCCTGGTCGTCCTCTCCGAACTTAATTTATGTGTTTATATGAAAAAATATACATTATTATTACAACTTGTACACGATCGAACCATTTGCGCCTTCGAGTTGCCCACGGATGGCTACTAGTTCCAAGAACAAACGTTCAATGTTCACCTCCATTGACAAGAGCTCGGTTTGATTATTGGCAGAAGCAACTAATTAACCAGTGCAAGGATCTGATAACACTGTTTCTACCTTACCTCTTCGTTTGTCGTGGTTTCGGTGTACTTGCTGAGGTATGGGGCTGTGATTTGCAAACTTAACATTTAACTAAAATGCGATACAGCATAACATTATGTTCTTGAGGCTGAAAACAAACGTGCTACATTAAGGAATATGGAAGTATTATCCATGTATTGACAAGAAATTTATGTCAAATTACAAAGGGCTGACGGAATGATGATAGGTTGACCACCCCTCACACTTTTTCTTAACTAATCCGTTTTTGGTTAACATTGCTTCCCTAGAAAAGTGGTTGCTCTGCAGGCAAGACACCACATCTTGGGCAACAGTCAATATGCTAATGCTAAGAGCTCGCGTACACTTTGTGCAATCATACTGGTGCAAAAACTAATAATTAACATAAATTTGGTAACATCGCTATCGCATGAGAAGTTTTCTTTTGGTCTACTCTATTTATGTTCAGAGGCCAATATCATCAATGCCCACCGCTTGTTTTATTAAGATGAAACAAAATAAAAACTGAGTTGAGTTATATTTAACAGATATAAATATAGCCAAGGATAGGAAATCCGCGGTGATTTAGTTAACAAATGCGGCGAATACACAGGTCTTAAAGGAGTTGTAAAACATCCAGATCTCGGTACGTTCAACTTTTGCGTTACATTTTTGCGCGATTCGTTACGTAAAATTTATCTTCTTGTAATCTTTGCGCAAGTACTATGCTACTTCCATACCTGTAACCATTAACTCTCATATCAAGTAGTTGTGGTTAATCAAAGTAAAAAGCAACGAACCCAATCCCCTGTAAATCTGGTGACTAATTTTACGTTGATATAAGTATAAAACTTGGGCGCCGTGGTAGAGTATAACTCCATTATTTTATTTTGATAAATCACACAGTGTTGTACAGTTATATTAATTGATGACGTTTCAAGCACAAACTATTGCTCATAATCATAATCTTATGATATGATTATGAGCAATAGTTTGTGCTTGAAACGTCATCAGTTAACATAACTGTACAACTAATTTAACTTCTTTGATTGCTACATCAGGCAACACACTCCCTACAAACGGTTATTGTGAGCCACATACCTCACCTGTATTCCGTAAGCGTCGAGCTGGAACTGAGGGTAAAACCGTATTTGCAGCTAGTGCTCCTAAAAATTCAATACCCTCTACTCATACAGAACACCTCCCTACACCTTATGTGCTTATCAAAAAAATTCAGCCATCAAGCTCTGTTTCAGTACTATATCCAGAAATAGAACTTGTTGTCAATGTCAAGGTCTTACTACATTGAACCTCACGCTTTCCTTGGAAGACTTTCAGAAGCTATAACACGAACAGCAAACGATGAAACGATGACCGCAGTTTTGATGACTTCCGAGAAAAATATGGAGGTGTTGATTCTGAGCAAACAACCATGAACTGATCATTCAATCTTCAACTACATTGACAACCCCTCTCAAACCACACAGAATTATCCCCCAGAGTTCAGCACCAGCCGAAAGGCCACTAGGCTGCAATCAAACAACTAACAAAACCATACCACCTATCACCGTAGATTTAGACATGTCACCAAACAACTCCAGAAAAATGTCAAAGCCCCTCAAAAGTCGACATTATCCTCTCCTGGAGCTTACTCCATTTGTAAAGAGGAATTAGTTAACAAACGTATTCAAAATATGTCACTGGCACCCAAAAATCATATTCACTCGCTAAATGCTTCCGAGAAATATGTACAGGATAAGGAAAATATGACACCAAACCATGCCATCAATAACAATAGCAGTACAAATAAGCCCACGCTTTCCACGGCCGATAGTATTAGCACTCACAACGTGCGAAATCACACCATGGCACACACTAATAACCAACGTCACAAAAGTTCCATACAAAATAGTACAGGTGGCAATAGTCAGAACTCGGCTACCAACAACTCAGGGTCTTCAGAGTATGCCGCACAAACAAGCTTTGATCGGATATATGGTACAAATCTGCTGGGAAATAACGCACAATACGGTACACATGAAACCCTTGCAAGGACAAATCTAGTATCAAACAATAAGTGGAATGATAAGCCATAGTCATCACAAGGATCCAATCACTTTTCATTCCCTGCGTCCCTGTCAGCGTTGAAAAAACAGCTGGTAAGGATGTCAACACTCCTAAACCACTAGTGCTGGCTCCCTCCTTGTATGAAAACAGGAAAAATCTAGTGCAGCCGTATCCATTAATCACACTTCACACTTGCACAAGTATTGGTCAAATAAAGAGCCCTACCTACGTTTCCAGCCTAAATAAAAATAA